TTGTATTGTCAGCTGTGCGAGCTGTTGGGCATGTTGTCCAATGGATATCTACATACATATGTATCCATATTAATTTGACTGTCGTTTTTGTTGACCTTGACATGACCTTTTCAAATACAGCTACCCTATCAGCCGGGCTGTTCGCTTAGTGCGTGTTGTTGAGGTCTCTTTTGGTCTGGTCATAAAAGCTGTCTGGTTCTTATCGGTGCCTTTGCTTCGTTTATGCTATGCCCATACACACACACACATGCACTCACACACACGCATGCACACATACTATATTTTGTAAGTACATGCATTGTTTTCTCGATATCTGCCTGTGAAGGTTATGCACAAACCACTTGAGCCGAACAATTCGCATTAAGCGACCGCTCTTTAGCGCTCTCTCTCTCTCGCTCTAACGCCCTCTCTCCCGCCCACTGTTCTGTTGGCTTAAGAGTTTTCGCCTTCCACCTTTATTTACATTCTCTCTGAAAGCTGGCAGCTGCCAGCTGATTGGCAAGCTCGATGAAGATAACAGATAACAGATAACTTACCTCGGCCGTGGAGGAGGCGGTGGCGGCAATTGCGGGCCGTGTCTGGATCTGCATGCGTGTCTTGACCACGTCGAGCGGCTGCATGATGCACACCTCCAGGAAACCGGCAGAGCCGCCGGCCATCACCTGGAAGGCAGCTTTGCGCGCCGGCGATATGCTGGGTCGCTCCTCGCCGTGGATGCTCATTCTGTTTCCTCTTTGGTTTTGCTTTTAATTTGTAAATCTGCCAAGACTAAACCCAAACTTTATGATCAGACACATCCATAAATGTGCCAAAAATTTCTATGCGTGCTGGCTCAGAAAAGGCAACCAAGAGCAACACCGACAAATTTTTGATTCGAAAAGTCTAAGGCAATGCTCACTTTGTCGCTAGATAATCGCTCCGACAGACGACAACTAGTTCCACGCTCTCGAACAGACAACAGCCAACAAGAACAATAACAATAAACAAACAACAAATTTGATTTTGAGAGCAATCAATGGACCCAAAATTTAGCCGCCGCGCGCCACGACAACTCAATTCGCACTGAACCCGAGCGAGCAAATTGAATTCTGAACGCCGCCGCGGCGAAAGTGGCCAGTCCCAGGGCTGGAGTCGGGGCAGTCGGCGCAGTCGGACGCAGACGCGAAACGAACCGTTGGAGGTGGCCGAGCTTTCAATGACGCAGCTGGCGACGTGCTGGAAGAGCTTCTAGCTGCTGCTGCCCATAACTACCGTATCACACAATGCACCCGCTCCGATCGCGCAAAAAGCTTTCAAAAAAGCTTTGTACTTACATATTTTGTTGCTCTGTGGTGGCTGCTCTCACACTGAGAGCGAGATTCCAGCTGCAATCCCAGATGCGTGGGGGTGTGCAATATATATGCTAATGCTATGTAATTAACCACCACCAATAAGACTAAGTTTGCATAGCTGCTGCTCGAAGTGCCAAAGTGAGCGGGGGACTAGGTTAATTATTTGTATGTGCGTAAAGTGATTATAGACTGATAAGATATGTCTGGTATATACAGTTCGCCCCTCTCTATCGCTCCCCCTTAACGCCCAACTTATCTTTCCTTTATCTCACATACTGCTATAAAAAAAAGCTATATATGCGATTATCTTTTAAGTAATGCTAGCCTCGTGGGGCCGTCAGAGGGAATATAGCTGTGATATATGGTTGATATACTGTAAACGTAGGGGATTATACTTATTATAACCGCACGTAATAATAATGGTAAATTATAAAATTAATAATATAAATAGTAAAGGTTAAGAAAAAATAAAAATAATGATAATTATAATAATAATAATAATACTAATAGTAATAATAATAATAGTAATAATACTAATAATAATAATAATAGTAATAATACTAATAATAATAATAATAGTAATAATAATAATAATAATAATAATAATAATACTAATTATAATAATAATAATAATAATAATAATAATAATAATAATAATAATAATAATAATAATAATAATAATAATAATAATAATAATAATAATAATAATAATAGTAATAGTAATAGTAATAATAATAATAATAATAATAATAATAATAATAATAATAATAATAATAATAATAATAATAATAATAATAATAATAATAATAATAATAATAATAATAATAATAATAAAAATAATAATAAAAATAATAGTAATAATAATTGCTATATTAATAATATTAATCATACCAAAGAGCTAAGTGAAAATCAAGCTTTGAAGCAAAAACAGATCTCATTATTCTGTCCTACACAGCCTAGGTTTAGCTCCTTGGAGCTACTTCGGCCTTTGAATGATCGGCAGCATCATGAGTTTTCACACCTGACTTAGACATGCGCCTAACGCATTCATTAGAAACTCTTATCTCTAGGGCAAATGTCATTAGGCGGAGTCCACAAGTCGTGCCCGTGTCAACTGGGGGGCTGTATCGTACAGGTGTCTGCATTTACGATACAAGAAAGCAAGACAATCGAATCATTTGACATTTGTATATGTGTGTATCTGTATCTGTATCTGTATCTGTCTCTGTATCTGTCAGGTCGCAAGTGTATCTGACAGATGCATCTGGTGATCTTTGCTTTGGCTCTTGATTAGTTTATTGTTTATTGTTTATTATTCATAGTGCGCTGTATGCGGCGCATCAATCAGTTGATGCAATGAAGCAGAACAAGAAGAAGAGCGGAGCCATATGAGTGGTAACAGAAAGATATACATATACACACACATATACATACGCATATACATATGTATATATGAGTGGCTCAGGTCGCTAAGTGAATGCCGTCTGTGGCATCTGAAGTATCTGTGAGATAGATTGAGGACAACTTTCATTTGCATAAAATGCATTCTATAACAAATTGACAGAACAAACTGTTGGTGTCAAAAATGCGATGCGCTTGACTGGAATCCCCCTCCCCCCTCTCTCTCTCTCTCTCTCTTCCTCCCCGCTCTCATAGATGCTCTATGATTTACATGACATGCCTTTCATGCTTCTATGAGTGTGCGTGCATGTGCATTTGTTTTATGTCTGTCCAAATATTTCGAGCTGTTAATTATAGGCACGAGTTAGCGTGAGTGATAGATAGATAGATAGATAGATAGATAGATAGATAGATAGATAGATAGATAGATAGAAAGATTGTGTGGAATTTCAGATAGGTTCTCAGCTCAATAATCTCCAATGTTCTGGGCGAATTTAAAATGCATTAGAGACCATTAAAAGCTCATAAAGCCAAGGGACATACCTTCCAATTTGATCTAATTATGTTATAAAGTCACGCATGTGAGGCAGGCAGCTGGCTGGTGTGGGGGGGGGAGACGGAGCCCAATCTAAATGATATAGTACTAATAATATCGTAGCTATAAATTGCCGCCTAAAGATAGCACTCAATAATCGATATGAATGAATGGAAATGCTCTGAAAATCGTTTTCAATTCTTTCACGCAGCGATTTCTGCTCTTGGCTGGGGTTGGGGATCGCACAGCCAAAGTTCGAGTCGGCGTCCGAGTTCGAGCTCGAGTTTGAGTCCGGGACTGAGTCAGTCAATACCGGAGGCGGCGGGCAAAGGCAATCTAGGAAAATGATTTTGTTTTTTGTAATTAGCTAGCGGAACAGGCAACAACAACAACGAGCAGAAGAGCTGGCACCAGCAGATAGCGCCGATTGATCGATCAAAGCTGCAGATACAGAGTCTAATAAATCATTTTCCCATTCTCATTTCCCATTTTCCCCCCCCTAAAGTGAGAACTCACGACCGCACCGCCCGTGGTCGTCCAATTGTCTGTCAAAGGCTATTAACCCCATTTTGGCGGGGCCGTTCCACTTGTTCCACTCCGCTGTGGTCATGTTGCCTTGTCAGTTTTCTCGGCCACCCTCTCACTCTCTCACTCTCGCTCTCTCTCTCTCTCTCTCTCTCTCAGTCTTAGGAAATACTTGTAAGTTGCCCAAATTGTTTTTCCAAACAGCGCGCACTAAAAATGTAGAAGCGCAGAGCCATATGTGAAACAAAAGACCAAGAACTAAGAGCCAGACACTTTGCTTTTCGGCTCGGAGCTGTTGGACGCCATCTCGCAGCCGTCAACGGGCCCACAGAATTCCCATCAGAACTGATGCCGCATGCCGCATGCCGCATGCCGCATGCCGCATGCCGCATGCCGCCTGCCTCATCTGGCATCTGCCATGTTTTGATCGTCCAACTCAAGCGTTGCAGCCAAAATATATTGTAGCATGTCGGAGTATCAATTGGAGGCCCAAGAACACGCCGTGGCCACCGCAACCACAAGAAAGCAAATCAGTTAGAGTGTTTTGATTAATGTCAGTTTTGACAGCTGTCCATGTGAAGTCCCCCAGCTCTGGGCCAGGTCCAGGAATAGCCGCAATGGAGGCTCCATTAGCAGCCAGCGATCAGACGGCTGAGCAATCGAATCGAGCCAATGATTGGTAACTAATACAAAAAAAAAAAAACAAAAAACCGAAGATGAGCTTCGAAATTGTTAACCAATCTATACTATCTGGATAAACATGAGCTTGTGATCGAGCCAAAGAACTAATCCCTACGGATTTGTGGCGAAATTCCGAATACCGACAAGAGTGGAAAATGGGTGAAAAATTGATGAATTAATTCTTTGTTGCTTGTCACTCGATCGTGGTTAAGACGTATTATATCTGGAGAGTCCCTTCAAAACCTTAACAACTTTGAGGCGAATCGAGCGACAATGTTGGGCGAGGCATAAACATGACCTAGAACCACTTGAGCCAACGGCTTTTAAGTGGCACAGCCCACTGAACTGTGCCGACCCGTTAAGAACAAGTTGGGCGATATTTTTGCGGGCCATGTCAAAAACGAAAGTACGAGTTGGTTAGGCAAGACCCAAGCCCAAGACAATGGGACAGTCAGTATTTGGCTTATAAAGAGGCCCGTTGGCGCCGCTTTTTTGGCCATTTAATTGGACAACGCGCACGCGAGCGAATGGAGGCGCTAAGCGGTTGGACTTTGGCGCTGTTGCGCCTGCTGAGCGCTCTGCCCTGGTCCTGGACATGGACGCCAGCGCGCACGGAGCACCCGCTGGCCAACAGCTATTTGAACGCGGCCCAAAGACCGCTGTGGATACTCGAGGACGAGCTGATGAAGCGCCAGCGTGCCGACAGGCAGGAGGCGGACTATGCCACAAACACGCGTGCCCCAACCCTGCGCCGAAGGCGCCAGGAGCGACAGCATCTGCCCACAGCCATAACAATACGCGTGCGTCCGGACTCGGAGGCCGATGAGGCGCCTCTGGTGGCGCCACCGCTGGCTGCACCATTTACACAGCGACGCTTTTATCTGCCGCATCGCTTGCAGCTACCGAGCCACTACGTCCAGCAGCTGGGTGGGACGCCGTCCGAGCTTCCCAGGCTGGCGCAGCGCCGGCGCCAGCCGCAGTCGCTGCCCATTTTTGACAGTGCACCCGGAGACAATGCGCTGCCCACCGCCAGCTATCCGATCTTTGTGTACAACGGCACCAGGGGTGAGCTGCTGATCAACACGATGCTGAGCGGGCAGCGCTATCCTATGCAGGAGCCGGTGCCCGGCCAAGTGCTCTATCCGCCCTCGACGCCCATGTTCCGACCCAAGCCCATTGTGGAGCGCTTGAAATTGCCCGGTCAGCGGGAGCTGCTCAATCTGACGTTGATTCCCTTCTACGCCCACGAGGCTATCACCGTTAGGCCGACATTTGAGACAACAACGGAAGCATACATGGCAGATGCTGCTCCAGATCCGGCAACCGCTCCAGCAACTGCTCCAGCAACTGCAACGGCAGCTGAGCCACTGGCACTGACCACGCCCATGGCGACGCTCTATGAAACGCAGCTGCCGCGCAGCAAGCGCAAGCGGAAGGCCAAGAAGGCGAAGCAGTACAGCGCCTATCATTCGCCCCAGGAAGTGGTGCAGTGGCAGCCGCCGCTGCGTAGCTCGCCAGCACTGGACCCACCCGACAATCATCGCCACTACGTGGTGCCGACCACCGACAGGACGGACAGTGCACTGCCGGAGCAGCTGGAGCAGCTAGAAGCTGAGATTGAGGAGCCCAGCCAGGAGCTGCAACTGGAACAGCAGCCGCCAGCACAGCCCGAGCAGACCACAAGCAGCAGCAGCAGTAGCAGTTCTCCTTCTCCCTTTCAGATCATCTATGTGGACGAGAGCATGGAGGCACCTTACGATTCGCTCGCCAGCACCACAGAAGCTCCACCGCTGCAGCGCCAGAGCTCTCGCTATGCCTTGAAGCGTGAGTACTACGCCTTTCCGGTCTACACGCTGGGTAAGCTGCTGCAGAGTCCCAAGCCTGGCCAGGCAAGCCACAGAGCACGCGACATAGAGATCGATTGCTCGGGCGGTTCCAAGGAGCACGGTGACAATACTTGGTTCATTTTGAATTCACGGTAAGCTCGCTGAACAAGCTCACCTACTCAGTCGTTTGTCACATATTTCCCTTCCATTTGCAGCTACAGGGGACCACATCGCAATGGCCAGAAGGGGAGCAAGGAACACACCAAGTATTATACATCCAAGTATGTACAGAGCCGTGCTCCTCGGTAGCAGGACATTGTGCTGGACCTGCTGTCTCTTGGCTGAGCTGGGGCAACGTCTCTATTGTGATCTTCAATATGATAATATATTTTTTTTTTAGCTATAAGAGATCTATGATTACAATATAAATATAATAATGGATCTTTCATGTTTTTTTTTATAGGAAATAAATGAATGGCTGATCTCGTATCAAATTTCGATGTTAATGATCATAATAGTCTAATACCGGGTTTTTACTGCATTTCAAATTGGTTCCATCAGATATAAATGATCATTTGTTGATCTTATTTCGAACATTTTTATATTTTTAAACTTTTTTAATTGATCTTTCATCTTTTCTTTTTTGATAGGATCGACTGATCTTCGAATAACTTTACTCAACGATCTTGCAATGTGTTTGATAAGAAATAATAATATTCTTCATAATTAGAGTCTTCATCTTTGACTGCATTGAAAATTGTTTTGATCAGATATAAAAGATCATTTCTTGATCGGCTGATCTTGTTTCAAATATGATCTTAATTATAATAATATTTGTTTAGAGATACAAAAAAATATATGATTATGGGATGATCCTTTTTGATTGGAAATAAACGATGATACCTTGATCGTTTGATCTTCTAACAAATTTAGACACTGATCTCTTTTTGATCTTGCACTTTTTTTTGTACTCATTGAAGATCATAACACGATCATCGCAATTACCTTTTACCAAATTGTTCTGAACTGCTCTTAACAGATCATTTCATGATCACCTGAATGACCTATTAAATACGCATCTAAACACCTCTCCTCCCAATGGCTCTGCACTATCATTAAAACTGTGCTCCATTAACACCTCTATAGGCCCGTACCTATACCTATACCTATGCATATGGAAGTGTCTTCGTATAATACTCTGAATGCGATTGGAAAGGTTTACCAATCATAAAAAAAATGGCAATAAATTCCTGCAGACACAAAGACGAGGCTTCTCTGCTCGAAGGTTCGGCTAGAAAGTTGTCATAAAATGCAGTTTTAATGATCGAACAACTCAATCGAAGGCGATGCAACCAATTGTTGGGCTATATTGGCCTTTGACATTACATAAGAAAGCCATGGGAGATGGGAGCTGGAGGGGCCTAGAGGAGCTGGAGCAGCTGGAGGGGCTGCGTGCAAAAACAATCACGAGTGGCCCAAACTGAAGATTCTTGACGGCAAACAAAATGTTGTGTGACCCAAATTCCAGAATCAAAAGAAAATCAAATTTCGATGTGTGAAAAGCTGGAAAATAAAGAAATAAAAAACCGAAAAAAAAAAACAACAAATCTGAAATGAACAGAAAATCCAAATACAAATAAAACCGAGAAATAGTCATCTACAAATATTTATGGCTAATTCAATGGCTTGCGGCCCTTTCAGACAAAACAGCAACAGCAACAACAACAAAAAGAAGAAGAACAACAACAACAAATGTGGGGACCAATAGGCCCCGCCCCCGTGCAGCCGTCATTCATTCAATCATTTTGTCAATGATGTGGCTTTCTATTCTAAACGCACGTTCATTATTATTATTGATTTCCCAACTTATTTTTTCGCTCTTACGACTTTTCAGTTTTTTCCAAGCCTGCAATTAATTTTCTCGCGCTATTCTAAGTCCCCCCCGCCGACGCAGCCGCCGCAACCCCCCTCCAATAGGGCACAGTAACAGCGCACCATGAAACAAAAGGAATTGGAAAGAAGACGCACGCCATGCCCGTCTTTCATGTCTAACGCGCATGGCTCTGGGGCAGATGGAAATGGATTCCCAATCGTAGGCCCAGGCCCAGACCCAGACCCAGACCCAGACCCAAGCCCGAACCTCGGCTAGCGACGCGACCCGACGCACACAATTGATCCCCGACCTCTGGGCCCGGCTAGTGGCATCGACGATATAAAAGCTCGGCCTGTAACTGTTTTTGGGTTTAGAACAAATGCAGCTGCGCACGCGTGCGGACTCTCGCGCTTAACTTAATTATTTTTTTTTATGGTGTTTTGTGTTATCGTAAAGGACCAATTCAAGGATTAACGCCGAGGATACAAATATATCTATATATATACATATATTCGATAGTCAAGTGAACTAAAAACCTATCGAAAATGTGGCAATACTTAGTGGTATGTGAAACAACAAACGTGGTCGAAGGATGCGTTTCCATAGATCAAAAACCAAGTTAATGCAAAATAAAATAAGTAAAACATATGACCACAGATTATTGAAAACTTTAAATCCAATTCTTCAAAAAATGAAAACATGCTATATTATTTATTTCCAACAAATATATGTGCTCGTAATTCAATAACGTTGAAGATATACCGAAAAATAATATAGCAAATAATATTAATAAGACTATTTCTTATAAAACAAAACATTAATATGTTTTATATTTGTTTTATAATTTTTTTAATTTTTTTTTGTAAGTAGAGCCACAAATTGGTTTCGAGCTATTATGAGGACTTTGGATATTAATTTATTTAATTTTAAAATCGAAATACAATTGACTTTATTACTGTACATCTTATTGTCCAGTATCAGATATATTTTCTTAATATTCAACCGAAAACCAAAATAACTCGTTTCGTGGCTCAAATAATATTTAAACCAAACATTATGGCAAAGGGTGGATATACATAGGTAGAGATTATGTTAAGACGGTTTGAACCGCGCTAATTTAAAAACCCGGGATTCCAATGAATCGAAACGAGCGCTGAATTATAAAAAGTGTTTATTTTCAACAAAATAAACTTTCTTGAAAAACTCATTCCCAAAAGCATAAATAACATTGGCGTTATCCAAGCATATTTGGTAAATACCAATTATTGAGTAGAGAACATATTCAGACCGCAATTTATATATGAGAATATCTACGTCTCGCAATATTCTCAGTAGAACGGGCAAATATAAACTTAAACTTAACATTGGAATTGTTTTTGTTTGTTAATTTTAAAAATATGTGAAGCTTTGAGCCTGGGCTCAAGAAAGCGAACCACAGACAATTGGAGCTCTCGTAGGTATATGACTATAGTTACAAATGATCAATATATCTGACAACCACGGGTTTTAACTAAGATAACACCACAACCGTGTACTAGCCTGGTAGTAGTTAGTAGTTAATGTAATCAGTATAAATACCTAAATGTTGCACTTAAGAAAGAACCCAACTAGATGGGACAGCTGCAAAATGAACTTTCTGAAACTTAATTTCTCGGTTTGCAGCTCATCGCCGGCTTTTCGGCTCTGCCTCTGCCCAGCAGCGGCTTCTGGTGGCCCAAGACGACAACGTAAGTCAGCCAGAGTGTTGGTAAATGCAGCTTGATTTAATCCTTTCGCCCTCCAACCACAGCGAGACGCCGCGCAGTCAGGTGCTGCAACAGATTCCGCTCACCTACTTCCGCACCTACACGTACCAGCCGCTGACGGGCGGCGCATTTGGAGTGCCGCTCTTTGGCTTTGGCGCGGCACAGACGCCGCTGCTCTCGGGCCGCCACTATGATCCGTATGCGGTGACCAGCTATGCGGCAGCCCGGCGCCACGATGCGGCCGCGGCTGGTTTCAAGCCGGACGTAACGCCACCTGCTCTGGCGAGCAGCAGCAGCAGTGTGTCGAGCACGACGCCAGCGCCGACCACAACGACGACCACGACAACGACCCCGGCGCCAACAACTACAACCACAACAACAACGACGACCAGCAGTACGACCAGTGCACCGCCGACCAGCAGCAGCACGGAAACAACAGCCCCGCTGCGCTACGCCGCCTACAATGCGGAATATCCAACGTACAATCGTCGGGTGAACAATTTGTACAATGCGCGGCCGCAATATCCGTATCCGGATTACTTTAACTATCAGCCGCAGAACACGCTGCCGGAGAAGGGCGGCGCGCGCATTCAGTTCGTGCCCTGCATGTGTCCCGTCAGCATGCCCAGCCTGGCGGGTCTGTCGGGTCTGTCCGGGCTTGGACTGAACGGCGCCACCAGCACTGATCGAGACCGACCCGCTGGCGTGTCCATTAGCAGCGCCTCTGGAGATGTTACGTCCGCGGAGCGCGACATTGTCGCTTTGCAGGCGCGCCACATCGATAGCGCAGAAACTGACTTCGAGAAGGGGGACGATGAGGAGCAGGAGGAGCCAGATGCGTCCGCTGAGGCGGACGAGGCTGATGTTGCCGTAGCCGTTCCCACTAAAGTCGCCCTCGAGCCGCAGCATACCACGCCCGCCGTTGAGTCCAACAGTTTGGTCTAGCCACGCCCACCGTCCCGCCCATTATAGTATTAACAACGCCTAGACTGATTTGCGCAACTCTCTTGGGAGACCAGTTCCAACGACAGTTTGGCATTTCCTCCCCCAACTTAATGTGCCCTATTTTTTTTGCCCATAATAAAATACCACGAAATAAATTGCAAAGCTTTTAAATGCAAACGTTTTTTTTTTTTATAATCAATTCAAAAGGATATTGAGGAGTTTAAAAATTCGACTCGCCCATGAAAATCATATCAATTATTAAAAACAAATTATTCACCTTGGTGAGCTGTGTATTAAAGCCATTATTCACGAGGTTTAGCTATTCGATAATGGTTAGGCCTCTTAATCAATTTGGCAAAATTCAAGTTAAAATTATACAATCAAATCTCTATATATATAACTGTTTGTCCTGACTGACTGACTGACTGACTGACTGACTGACTGGCGATCAACGCACAGCCCAAACCGTAAGAGCTAGGAAGCTGAAATTTTCACTGTAGCTACTTTATGTGATGTAGGTGCACGTTAAGACGGGGTTTAGGGAAATTCCACCCGCAAGTGTGGAAACATTGCGAAAAACGTTTGTATGTAACTTTTTTGTTTACCATCCGAAAACTTATTTTCAAAGATCTTTGTTCAAATTCATTTGAGGGGTGTTTCACACTTTTCGAAAAATCCGTTCCTCCTTGGTGGAAATGGAGGTCAAAGATTTGGTGGGTGACGTTTCGCGCTCAAATTCATTTGCAGAGATCTATAAGAAAAATCATTTGAGACGTGTTTCACACTTTTCGCAGAATTCAAACTTCTTCGGGGGGAATGCGATTTAAAGATTTTTTGGGTGAAGTTTTAAGTTGTGTCCGATTTGCTTCAAACTTATTTTCAAAGCTCTACATAAGAACTTAATATATACGTATTTCAGCGATTTGGGAAATTCCACCCGCAACAGTGGTAAATTGGCGGAAAACGGTTGTATGAAAGTTTTTTGTTTACCGTCCGATCAGTTTCCAAATCATTTCAAATTTGTTTGAGAACATTGATTTCATAACATACGTGACACGGGCAAGGCCGGGTTATACCCGCTAGTATCCTATATAGACATATGTAGGTCAGTAATTCCCACTCCCTTAACTCGGTCAAATCTCATCCGATTTTCATTAGGTTTGGCTCGTTGTTCTTGGTTTGGCCGCTAGATCAATTTGGCATCTGAATCTGGCAACATTATTTATGGTCAAAATTCATGTGAAAATGGAAGCCTCTAAAATCTTATATAGACTTAGGTCAATATTTCCCACCCCCTTAACTCGGTCAGATCTCATCTGATTTTCACGAGATTTGGCCTCTAGACAAATTTGGCATCTAAATCTGGCAACATTGTTCTTGTTCTAAGCTTTTGTCCAATGCATTACAAACATATAATTAAAGCTGTAGATAAGAAATTAATGAATACGTTTTTCAGCGATTTGGGAAACTTCGCCCTCTACAGTGGTAAATTGGCTTACCGTCTGATCGGTTTCAAACTCATTTTCAAAGATCTTTGAGAGAATTTATATACATACAAATATATATTTATATTCTTATTATATTTAATATATATATTCAAATTAATATATGTATATGAAAATATGTACTCACCCAAAAAATTCGTATATGTACGTCTATAAGTGAGAGGCCGACAGACTTGTATATATGTATGCATCGCTAACACAATAAATGAAATAGATAGACAGAGAGTAAAGTGTGTTAAATAGCGAACAACTTGTTCATATAGTACTAATCAATGCATACAAACCGGAAAGCCTTACCTGAATTCATAAGAATCGCATAATAGGGTACCATTGAAACATACTTTTTATTTACATGTAAATCTTAAAAATATGTATATGTTCGCGTGAATACGCACGTACATAAATGGGTGATTACATACATGCATGCATACATACATACATGCGTACATATGCGTGCATACATGCATGTACACATACGCACACATGTAGACGTGCATGCTTACATGCGTTCGTACATACATACATATGTACATGCACACATGTTTGCATGCTTACATGCATACATGCATGCATGCATACATACACATATACACAAATATGCACACACCCATGTATACATATGTACATGCAAACATATATATATATATATATGCAAAGGCATATACACACATGCTTACATGCATACATGCGAATATGCATACATGCATACACACATGCATACATACAAACATAGACACATGTATGTATGTATGTACCACCACACTTTATTTTCACAAAACACTAACACTTGCACTAAACACTTGTACTGAAGGCATGAAAACCTGCCTGACTTACTTGAATTCTTGAGAATCGAGGAGGAGAGCACTAAGTGAAAGAACGTTAAATTTAAATTGCAGCACAGGGAAAACTTAATTTTGTCTGCAGTTGGTATAGAAGAATAGCTCGCATACGTACAAACGTATATATATATATGCATGTATACATACATGCATACTCACATAGATACATGAGCACATACAGACGCACATCCATACATAATTACAAAAAAGTTAAGTAAACTTAACCTGCGTTTGATATAAAAGAACATACCAAGATCTTAGCGTATATTGTCTAAGAAATCTAAACCGCGTTTTCCACCCATTTCCCATCCGTGGAAAATTTGTTAATTTCCCCTTTTGGACCGATATATCGCTTCGATCACGAACAAATCACGACTATCGATTCGGTAGGGTTAAATGTAAAATATGACTACCTTAGCGTTTTATACACTTATGTTTTGTTTTTTTATTGGATCAAATGATTCGTCAATTACATTTACACATAAATATAGGCTAATACTTAGCGCTTTCTGCGCGATTTCAACTAACTTCCTTCCTTTGCTTCTTGCCTCTCGCACTGCACTGACTGCGGTTCCAAATGCGATCTGTTTGAATCGTTCCTATGCCTTAATACATATATAGTACTCGTACTTAAACATTTCATTTCATTTCATTTTGTTTTGTTTTTTGTTTTTTGTTTTTATGTTTTTTCAGTTGCTGACCAATTAACAATTAGAATTACATACATATCTAGATGAAATTGTGCTTCGAGTCTTTGAAGTAAATGTAAATTTCATAAAAAAAAAAGAGCAGGCATTTATATTACTTAATAAACATATTTGTTAGCATTAAATCCAATGCGCATTCACAAAGGGATTTACAGATTACATTATATCATAAAATTAAAATAATAATAATAATGATAAAAATATTGTTTTTACATATTATTTTATAAATATCTATAAAGATATATATGTAAGTAGCAGAATATAATCAAGAGAAAAATATATAATCAGTCATTTAAGTTATAGATATACATACATATACAAATACACAAAAAGAGTATATATAAATTGTTGCTTAGACATATACAATTTGAATTCTGCTTTCGAGTTAAACAATTAAAAACGTTACATTCTAGATTTTATTAACTATGCATAGTTTTGCGCGCGCATACATAATGCCTGTTTTCGGCCGATATTCAGAGACGGTTGTCCCTGTCAAAACCCCCCATCCGTATACAAATGCATACGATACATATATATGCTTGGAATATACATAGATACATTTATATAAGCAAACATTTATCTGGTGTCTAGCGCTAGACTTTCTCTTTGCAATTGCAATCTTGTTGATTGTGAGAGGAAATTTGGGGTAATACATATGTATATATATTTGAAAATGTGTTATTCTTCTTGTTTTCGTGTCATGTTTGTCGTCACTTCGTCATTTTGTCAATTGTGTTGTTGCATTTGTCGCTTATGTGCTGCAAATCGCATTAATATGGCCTATAAGTATTTGTAGATGTGCCCACATACATATATACCTACTGATATTTCAAATACATGTAAAGCGTCTTCACATTTAAAAAAAAAAAAAAAAATCATCATCGTCATCGTCATTTCATCCTTTCATCCTTTCATCATTTCATCATTTCATCTTTTCATCATTTCTTGCGCTTGTTGGATATGCTATTTGTTTTTCAATTTCTTTCGATTACTCTTCAAGTATATTTTTCTATTCACTTTTGCATTTGTCTAACTGATTGCATCAGTCGCGGTTGCCCCTGCCGAATACCCTGTATTTTCCGGTTCAGGCAGAGGCAACAACAAAATGAACAATAATTTAATTATTTTTTCTTTTTCTTCTACGCATTTTGCGAGTTTTTCGTTTTTCATTTTTCATTTTTTTGTTTCTTATCATTTTTTGTTTTGTTGTTTTCTTCAGATGTAAAATAGTTAAATATTAAAAAATAATGAGATTGCGCAGGGCTAAAAGAGTTGATCATTCACAATCACATTCACATCATTCACCCACTGAACACATCAGAAAATTTTACATACGAAAAAAAAACAAAAAAAAAACACTACCGAAACCGTGCAAAAATTTACTTATCACAAGTTTTTGCTTTCGATAAATGTCAGTTACGAACTAGTTGTGGGCGTGGCAGACAACGGACGCACAGCAAACAAATAAGTTAACTAACAAATTAAAATACAAAAAAAAAAAAAAAGTAAAATCTATAAAAATTACATTAAAATAATAATAATTATAGAAATAATTATTGGGGCTGGGTCAGTGGAACATTTTTTAAAAACTAAATGCTTGTAAATCTCAGATCTCTCGTACTAGAAACTATAAATTATACGTATATAGATAACGAAATGTCCATATAGCAGCACAGCGGCAGCAGCTAAACACATGTCACAGGCATCCAGACACATACACACGCACACTCGCACACGCACACACACACACACAGCAAGGGGGAATGCCACTGGATGATATCGTTGGTTTGTGTTTCCTTTTACCGGCGTGAAATTCGTTGATGTGTGCCTGTTGCGCCTGTTGCGTCTGCTTAGACGAATGTCTCCCTGATGACGTTGCTGCTGCTACTGTTGCTCAGATCTTAGAATTCGGTTGATTGTCAGACAAATGAGGAGAAGCCAGGCAGTGGCGCCCTCGATCTGGCCATATTATTGACAATAATCTGGCCACCATTGAGGCTCATCACTGCGCTGCCCTCCGGCTCGGAGTCAGTATAGCTGGAATAGTTGCGCACCGGCTTTGTCTTCTTCCACGATTGACGCAGTGAATCATTGACATTGGCATAGTGATTTACAAATGAGTGCGGATCGCTGCGTACGCTCTCGTTCTCGCTCTCCGAGTGCTAAAATGTGGAATGTAATTTGAATGGTATTCAATGAATGTATTCAAACTCATTTGGACTCACCTGGGAGGCCTCGGAGCTGCTCACCTCAGATGGCTTCTCTGTAACGCTGCTGTCGTCCGGATTCTCATCGTAGCACTTAAGACTCTCCTCATCGCTGTGGTAGGCTACCGAAGCGGGCGACGGCCTTGGAGGACTCTTGCCTAGCTGCATACTTGTCGGGGGTCGATTGGTCGACTTGCGGCCCAGGGTGCCAAGCGTGCCGCTGCGCAGTGTGCCCACGCTGTTCAGTGTGCCTGTGCCGACGCCGTGACGCGAACGATACAGCTCCAGTGCCAGCTCCTGGCGTTCATCAATCGACATGGCCATGGATTCCTCTAGCGTTTTCTGTGCCTCCTCTGCGTCGCATCAAAGATGGCGAATTGGGAGTTAGGCATTGAAATTGGATCAATTTAAAGGCTGCACTCACGTTTATACTTGTAGCTCTTGCTCTTCACGCAAAGCACGGCAATGACCATCACAATGATGACTATCGATGTGGCCGCCAGCGAGACCATGAACCATGTCTGCCTGTAGAATGGCTTGTGCTGCAAATATCCGTATTCCAGATGTAGCTTCGATGGGGTCAATATGGAGTCCTTGGAGTATACCGGAAACGATATACCATAACGATTGTAGGCAATCACGCGGAATGTATACGCAGTCGATGGCATCAATATATGGTAGCTAACGGTAAAGTCCTGCATGGTGCCCTTCTTCGTCTGCTCAATCTTTGTCCAGCGCGAATCATCTGCGAATCGAGTCAAATAACAGATGAGCGAGTGGCCCAAAGCCAAGTGGTGCGAATATGCAGTTAAATGTACTTAAAAATGAATGATCCACGAGTTTATCCTGAACTGAGGTTTAGTTATAAAACTCCATGAAATAGTTTTCTAAATTTCCCACTAAGAATAATTATTCTATGTACCCTTGCAGAGGGGTTTCTTTGAAAAACCTTTTTGTTTTGATTTAATTAAAGTTTTCAAAACTAATTAAATCGTTTTTTTTCACTCTCTCTTCTTATTTATGGTATAATATTTTATAGATATTTTTTTAAATCCAACCATTTTCTTAGTATTTTCTTTAGTTTCAAGTAATTAAATTAAAGCTCGAGAAATTCAACTTAAAGCCCAAAACCAAATAAAAGAGTTTGAAGCATTGTTGTGAGAATTTGGAATTTATCGACTACGATACTTACATATAAACGAGGGCTCTCCTTTTTCTAGGCAAGCATATTGAAAAATGTTGTTTAGTTTTTTTTTGGGTTTTCGAAAAGTTGCAGAAATTTCGAAACAGTTCACCAAAGATTATTGCAAAATAGAAATCAAAAGTTAGAGTGAAGCGAAAGAGAACCAGAACCAGTAAATATTAAGTATTAGACGGATTGCTTACCGCGCTTCCTGGCCTCGATGAGGTAACCGAGAATGGGTCCCCGACCGGATGGTCCATTAATCCAGTGCATCTCGACGCTGGAGAGCGTCTTGCTGAGTATTAAATCGCGCGGTGCCACGGGCGAGCCGTCCTGTGGGCCTGTGGTCACATTCTCGCTAAGCGCGGGTCCATAGTCAATGGTCTGGGCGCGCACGGTGAATGTATAGGTGACCTCCTCCTCAAGATTCTGGACGCGCAGCGTAGTATTGGATACCTTCTGCTTCACCTGCTTGCTGAACTCTGTGCAACGAATGGAAGATGCAAAGGATTTGTTACAGACAGGGATTACTTCACGATTGGATGGTTTGTGGCTTACTCTCATTCTCCTCGGTGGTCTCGTAGGTCACCAGATAGCCCAGAATTTCGCCATTGAGAAACTTGGGCGGATCCCAAGCGACCTCCAGGCTCTGCATTGTGATGTCCGAAAAGCGCAAATTGAGCGGAGCGCTTGGCACGCCTTGGAGCGTCTTGACCGTAACGGGTGCAGAACGTGGTCCATCGCCGGCGGGATTGAAGGCTAGCAGCTGGATGCGATATTCGGTGTACTTGTCGAGAAAGACGAGACTGTGCGATGTGGCCGTGGCGGAGACGACCTCGATTTCCTCCTCCCACTTGCGGCCGGGCTCGAGCGCTTGCGGTGACGACGTGACCAGGTAGAAGATCTTGTAGCCCAAAATGTCGCCATTCTGCATGCTCTGCTTGGGTGGCTTCCAGCGTAGGCGCACCTCGGTGCTGGATATGGACGCAGCATCGACAGCGCGCGGTTCTCCGGTGGGCACCGCCTCGCCGACATAAACAGCCGCTGGCGGGGTTGCCGGACCCGGTCCCTGGGAATTAAATGGCAGCACGACAATTTCATAGTTACGATCCTGAGTCAGATCGGAGAGCACCACACTGTTCACATTGATGCCCATGACATCCGTTTTGGGCGTCGACTGCAGGGCCGTGGGAAAGTCGGAGAGCTGCTGATACAAGATGCGATAGCCACCGGTTGCTGCATCCCCATTCCACATGCCCGTCTCCAGTGCGTTCCAGTGCACGCGCACCGATGTCGTCGTTATGGGCACCACCTTCAGTCCGCCCACACCAATGGCTGGGGCGGCGGGCAGGGTGCGCACCACAATGCTCTCGCGACTGAAGGCCGAGGGGCCCAGATCGTTGGTGGCCTGTATGCGAAACTGGTAGGTGGTATACGGTCTCAATCCCAGGGCTGTGTACGAGCTAAGCAACGGGTCTACGCGCTCCGGAAGCGGCTGCCATGGACCCTCGTTCTCGCGCATCTGGACCGTGTAGTAGCGCAGCGGTGCGAAGCCATCCCGACCCGGTGTCCAGCTGAAGGTGATCTGACTAGACTGGATCTGGCTGCGCGAGATCTGCGGCAATGACGGCGCCTGCGGCCGATCCCTGTTGTTGGTGGTGTACACGAGCACGCTGGCCGTCTTGCCCCAGCCGAGTCGCGTCTGGGCGGTCACACTAAAGCTGTAATAGCGTTCGGATAGCAGCTGGGTGGCACGGAAGGTGCGATCCGAGGGTGGGAACTCGCGACTATAGTTGAGATTGGCGCTGCCGTTGAGCGTGTAGGTGACTTGGTAGGCGAGTATCTCGCCATTCGGATCATCGGGCACATCCCAGATAATGCGGGCCATCGAGAAGGTCACATCCGGAAAGCTAACATTCGACGGTGCACCGGGCGTATCCTCAAAGGTCTGGACGCGCATCGGTGGCGTGCTTAGCGCACCATCTCCCAATCTTGTGTAGGCAAGCACCTGGACATGATAGACGACATATTTTTTAAGCTCGGTCAGGGTTGTGGTAAAGGTACTGTTGGTCGTTATGGTCTTGTGCAGCACTGGCACCATGTTGACGCGCTCTGGGGCCGCATAGAAGACCTTGTAGCCCTCGATTTGACCATTGCGATGCTGGCGCGGCACCTCACCCCAGCGCACCACCACAGTTGTCGAGGATGTGGCATTCGCCTGGACATCCAATGGCCCATATGTTGGCGTCGCCTCACGTGTGCGCTCCTCATCTGAATTGCTGGCCCGGGAGCAGCCCACATCGTTGCAAGCATTGATTAGCACCTCATAGAGGGTCCACTCCTCCAGAGCGTCCAGCACATGCGAATTGGCCGTGTGATCCTCGATGAGTACGCTGCGCGGCGTTCGCCTAATGGCGCCCGCAACACTCTCCATTTGACGGTAGGTGATGTTGTAGCCACGGGGATTGCCAAACCATTCCGTCTGCTGCAGCGGTATCCAGCGGACGCGTAGCTGCTGTGCGCTCATTGCCCGTACGGTGACATTGTAGGGAGCGTGCATGGGACGGGCCTGTATGGTCTGAAAGTCCTTGGTGGGGTCCGAGGGGCGCGAGCTGCCGACCACATTGGTGGCGCTCAGGCGCAGACGGTACTGGGTGAAGGGCGTTAGACCGGTCACGGTAAGTGTCTCCGCATCGGGATCGCTGATCTCACAGATGGTGAACCAGGTCATGTTGCGTGCCGTTTGCGCTTCCACCTTCCATTTGGTGATGCTCGAGTTGCCATCGAAGCCGGGCGTAAACTGCAGCACAACGGAGAATGCCTCGATGTTGGACAGCGCCAGATTGGTCGGTGCATGAGGGAGCACTGGCTCCACGCCCGACTGTATGGTTGCCGTCTTGGGTGCACCGCTGCCAATTCTTGTCCAGGCGCAGATCTCGAACCAGTAGTGCGTGGTGGCCTGCAGCTGATTGACCGTCAGCTGTGTGTCCTCGGCGGTTAGATTAATGGACTTCATGGTCTCGGGACGATCGCGCACCTGATAGCGCACCGTATAGCCCGTGAGCAGGCCATTGGCGTGGCGCGGTGGCGCCCACAGGACGGTAACAGCACGATCGGAGACATCATCAAAGTGCAGGGCAGTTATCTCATCGGGCACATCCTCCTTGGTCATGACGGGCACCTTTTGGCTGATGGTGCCATCGCCGGGATCGGTGAAGCACAATACGCTGATATTGTAGCTGGCGTACTTGTCCAACCCATTGATTATGGCCGTCTGCTCGGCCAGCGGATCGATTAGACTGGGCGGCACCGTCACCATGCGCTTCTCCACGTCACGCGGCTCGCCGTCGATCTGATGCTGCTGCCACGCCTGGATCTTATAGCCCTGATTGATGCCATTTATCTGTTGCGGATTCGGTGGCTTCCAGCTGATCCTGGCGGCCGTCGAGTTCAGGGCCACGACACGCAAATTTGTCGGCGGCGCCTCGGGCACGCCCTCCTTGGTCTTGATCTTGGCGCCCTCAGTGTATAAGCCAACACCCATTTCATTGTAGGCGGCGATCTGTACTACATAATCCTTCCAGGTAATCAGCTCTTTGATGAGAAAACTGCGCTGCACCTCGTTCGTAATGTTCTGATAGGTCCAGGGCACATTGTTGTAGCCATAGAGTCGATAGCGCAGTATATAGCCCTGTATATGGCCATTGCGATGCTCCTCCAGCGGCGGCTGCCATTGCGTCATGATTTCCGACATGGATCTGGCCGAACCGACAAAACCAACTGGCGGGCCCGATGGTGCTGAGAACGTTTTTTGAGAGTAAACAATATTATTAGAAGCTCCTTGTAAATTTATCAGGTGGTCTGTGCAAGTGTATGAGATGCAGAGATTAATTCTCTGGGCTATGTACCTCGGTAATATGGAAACGCTACGCGCATTTGTTCATCAAAAGCGGGCGATCACGACGTTGCGGTTTGACGACAACGATAGCAGTTAAAAGTACAATACATACATATGGTTATATAGCATTAGTTCTATGCACTAAATACTTTTACGATATTACTCAAAGCAAAAGTTACACCAACGAATGCACTTGGCAACCCTAGAAAAAGGTGCTCAACATGCACTCGCCAAAAATAAACAAAATTAAACGAAAATAATTTTATAATTTTCAAATCAAATCACAACTAAAAGCTTACTGAATATTAATGAGATTGGGTTTAGATATATTCCATCGACTTGTAGAGAATTTTCTCTCTGCCTATGTTTGGCATATTTTCAATCGAAACTTTAACATCTGATTGATTTTTTGAAAATGATTTTGTTTTTAATGTAAAGTGCATTTCAAGCTGCGAATTTTAGTTGCTTGTCAAATGTTTACAATGAAGATAAAGTGCCTGGCAACTTTTGCAAATCAGAATTCGGTACCAATGAATGACTTTACTTGACTTTATTTTTAAATACTTCTACTATTTGAAGCAAATAGAAATTATTTAAAGTCTATTGCAATTCCGAATGTATTTAAACTATTTGTCAATTTACGATATTTTACAACATAAAATATTTCTTGTAAACCAAAAGCAGAAATCAAGAACACAAAAGCTGTTCAACACAAGAAGCTACTGCTTAATTTATTTGGATGTAGATAGTCGACAGTGCACTCACCTTCTTGGGGCAGCTCGACGACGTTACTTGGTTCGGATGGTGAGCCCTCGCCGACGCGATTAACGGCACTCACGCGAAACTGATAGACGGTGGCTGCCTTCAGGTGCTCGAGGAGAATCCAACGCTGATCGGCAGAAACGTTGCTCAATTCGGTGATCCAATTGCGCAGCAATTCTGGTACTGGATCATCGGATTTTTCTATGATGTTAATGTGTTGAAAAACGTAGTTGCGAGAGGATAACGCGAGAGAGCAAACGAGCAAGCGGCAGTGTGTGCGTGTGTGTTGTGTATGTTGTGTGATACGAAAGAGAGCGAGAGCGCATTGCAAAAGAGAGCGATCGAGTGGTAAGTGATGAGCAAGGTGAATGATGAGTGTGGTGAGTGTTGAGTGTGGTGAGTGAGGAGTGTGGTGAGTGACGCATATGGTTAAATGGTGAGTAATGCGCATGGTGAATAATGTGTGTTTAGTGTGGTGTGCAATTTACAGTGTGTGTTTTTGAGGTGTTCGTGTGTTGAAGAATAAATGTGCGAAATAAGTAAATAAAAACAATTATATAAAATAAGTAAATTAACAAAATGTTCACAAAATGAAAAATAATATGTAATATACATTATTTTAATATGTTTGTGTATATAAATTATATACATTTGTATATAGGTTTAGGATTAATATTAAAGGTTTGTTACGGTACACGGATTGGAAGAAGGTGAAAAAAGAGAGAACGTTAGAAAATGCATCGATTTAAAATTGAACTTTTCTGTGTAAAATGATTTTCATCTACTCTATACTAATATAAAATCTTTAAAACAAATAATTCCGTTTCCAGTTGGGACTCGTATAATTGTCACCCAATGCAAACAGAATCACAAATGGTTAATTGAAATTTTGTTGATATTTTGTGGCTTATTTTTGTTGTTGTTGTTGCTGGACTTGTTGTTTAACTGATGTGATTTACATGTTTTCTAATTACACGCAAGACCCCAGGGCCCAACATGAAGCTGCGCGGTGTGTGTGTGTGTGTGTGTACGATAAATCAAATTTCAATACCGCAAAACCGTAACCGTAACCATAGCCATGACCACGTAAAGCCAGCCCGGACAAAAAGTGTGTGACGGAATAGTAGGGGGGACGGTCGGTGGGGTGGGGTGGGGTGGGGTGGGGTGGATTGATGTTGACGCTGGCATATGGCATACACTTACCCAATTTGGAGACCTCTCGACGCTGTATAATAAATTTGGATATTGGACTGTTGCCATCGAAGCCCGGCGTCCACGATACATTGATGCTGCGCTGCCGCGGCTCGGCCAGGCGCTTCACCTTCACATTGCTGGGCGGGAATGGCAGCTCAATAACGCTGAGACGTGCCGCGCGCGTCTCATTGCCACCGGGCGAGGTAACCACACACGCATAGCTGCCCACATCGCTGGCCCGCACCGCCTGTATCTCCAGCTGGCCATCTGCTTGAACGCCAATGCGCTGCGAATTGCTTATGGGCGCCGGATGTCCCTCCCGGTACCAGTCGATATTGTACGGCACACTGGGGTCACTGGACACCTTGCATTGCAGCGTTGCGGTCAGGCCAAGCAGCACGGTTGTGTCCACCGGCGGTTGGATGATTTGTGTTCGCACTACAGTGACAGACAGAGAGAAACAGAGAGAGAGGGAGAGAGAGAGAGAGAATGGGGGAGTATAAGTAACTGGGCAAGAGTTTGACATTAAATAGTAAAAGAGATTAACTGCAACACATTCGCAGCCAGACAACGTAGGGACAGCTCTCAGTGCCGCCTCTCAGTTGGCTGACGTGTAGGAAATTAAGTTTTAAAGCCTCTCAGATGTACAGATGCACATATACATATGTATATGCACATATATATATGCATGTATGTTTTTTTTATATGCACATTTTCGCTGCCTTTTCAGTCACTTGGCCGCATCATGCATCAAAAGTTCAACGCGCTCGACCAGACTTTAGCCTGGTTCGGCTCTGGTTTTGGCCCTGTTTCTGCCTGCCATTTCTTTTGGCTATGACGACCTTTTATTGTTGCTGTTGTTGTTGTTGTTGTTGAATGCCGCTGCCTCGTTTGCATATAGTGCACACACACATACAATATTTTTTTTTCTTTTTTTTTTTTTTTTGATTACCGTCCCCATGCGCCATGTTTTATGCAAAACAAAATTTCAAAAACAAGTCCGAATAATGCGGTCCAAATGCAACCGACTGCGTCATACTCGTTCACAGTCCAATATCGGTTACATATCTTGCCACTCTTTTTTGGGGGTAAGGTTGCAAGCTAACATATTTGTTGACTTGTTCGATATGGTAAAGGTTTTTTTTCTCACTTTTGTTGTCTTTTTTTTTTCTTTTTCTTTTTAGTGCCTAAACGGTCTTGACTTTGTGCTTCTCAACCCATGGTTGAAGACTTTGTTGCCGACTTTAAAATTGACAAATCTAGAATCTCTCAAAACATATTCGCATTTGTCCTTCAAGCAACTCATCGGCAGTCTTCAAGCCGAATTGTATAACTCTAGCAATACGCATATTTGTATGCCAAGTTCTATCCAAGCCTGACATGTCACAAAGCCAATATACTCGTCTCATTTTTTGTACAGTTCAACACACACACACACACACACATACAGGCCAGCTGCAGCGCTTTGCCAATTAGCAGACATTGATGCGGCCTTTAAGAGAGCCGTCCAAGCTGCAGCTGGAAGCCAGGTCTGTGGCTAGCTTTAATGCATTAAAAATAAGACAAAGCGTAAAAAGCTCAATTATTATTATTAATGTTGTTGTTGTTGTTGTTGTTGCTGTTTTCCTGCCTGCGGCTTTGATGACAATATATAATGTGTTATTATGGGACCAATACGTTTTAGCTGATTTGATGTGGCACTCGGCGGTCGTTGCATGCCACGCTGTGGCATGTTTCAACGCTGACAACTCGGCAGTTGTGGCAGCTCCTCGCTATTAACAGTATTAAGGCTCTCATTGTTGTTGTCATTGTCAGTAGCCATATGTGTGTGTGTGTGTGTGTGTGGTTGAGGCATAGCAGAACTTAAATAGGTTGGCGCAGGTATTTAAAAAAAAAAAACTAATCAGCTTTGATCAAAGTTTCTAAAAGTCGACACTAATCTCAGAATAATTAAATTTCAGGCGACTTCATAATAATGATATTAATCTTTTATTTTATAAATAAGTATAAAATAAGTAAGAATATTAAAAAAAAAAAAAAACAGACAGAGTAACCCAGAGTTAACTCACCCTATAATAATATTATTAAAACAGCTATATTTAGTACTAAAATTTCTTGAATGTACGGCAAATCCAGCTCATTCCCACATATATACCGCCAGCCACAGACGGACATAACTATTTGATTATCAGGAATATATATCTTCATATATACCATTTGGACAGACATTTTCCATGCGTTGCACACTTCCTGACAAATTTCTAATGCCCTCAAAGTAGAGTACAGAAATTAGATTTCAGGCCCAAACATATTGTTTGTAATATAAAACAATGCTGAACAATTAGAATTGTTCATTTCTATATTTTTATCACTGAAGCATGAAATAATAAATATATTTTGTTTTTTTTTTTTTCCGTTTTAAGTAGATTACGTTGCATTGATTGCATGTGTGTGTGTGCGTGTGTTTATTTGTTTAATTGTTTATTTTTGTTTTTTTTTTGTTTTGCATCTAATTTCGATGGCAATAACTTGGCATAGCATTATTAAATGAATTCAGTTGAATTTCACCCTCTAATCAGGCAGACTGTAATGAAGTTAGCCTAATTTATAGTTAGTACGTATTGGTAATATAAATCATTAATTTTCTATTCCACAATATGTTTGTGCAAACAAATACGCCCAATTTGCGCAACGCAATCGAGCATAGAATGTGTTATTAATTTTGTTAGCTGTATTTTCACAGATTTTTAATGGCGTGCGACTGGGGGAGCGAGAGAAGCGTTTAGCAATAAAAGAGATAAGCAACACATAGCTAGTTATATATTTAGGAGCGTGATCTAGGAATCGAACGCCTTTCGCAAAGTCGCGTGGCCCAAAGCTGAACAGTTGTTGTTCCTTCGACATGCGCCTTAATCAATTTGCGCATTGCTTCTCGCTTCGCTTCTCTCTTGTTAGATTCTATGCGTTTGTCGGTGGGTGCAGTTGAACATCGAAAAGAGTTATATAGAGTTAGGCATGCCAAAATGCATGAATTCTATTGTGTTAATCATTAGTTCCAAATTCAATTCTGTTCACTCCGTAACCAGCAGCAACTCGCTGAACTAACACAAAAGTCTGTTCGTACTATATACAGACAAGCAATTAAACTGGCTGCTGGCTTTGCGTTACCAATTAACGTGAATTGTGGGAATCGGGCTGTGGACGGATTGGGGTCTGTCGTATAACTTACCTAGTACACCCAGATAAGCCTCGCCCTTCACGGTGCCCGCCTCGTTGGCGCGCACACATATGTAGAGGCCCGCATCGGAGGCGCGCATATTCGAGATGAGTAAATCGCCAGATTCGAGTATCTGAACGCGGCTCGATAGCTCGACCAGTTGAGTTTCTATTATTGTTGGTTTGTTTAATTTTTTTTTGATTTTTGTTTTTGTTTTATTTTTGGGCAGTCGGGATTTGTTTGGTCATCCAGCAAAGCAGTTTAAGCAGGGAGAGTTGCAGTTGCAGTTGCAGTTGCAGTTGCAGAGTTGCATTTACGGTTAGCAATTTAATTGGTTGGTTGGTTGGTTGGTTGGTTGGTTAGCATACGAAAAGAACAAAAAGACATCGATATTAGCATTTACGAAGGTAGCATTAACTACATTTAAAGCGTGCAGTAGGAGAATTCGTGGCACTCACCATTATAGATCCAGGTTATGTTCGGATTCGGTGCGCCGACAGCCCGACATGAAATGGTCGCATCCTTGCCATCCAGTGCGGTCACATTCTGTGGCGGCTGCTCCATAACCGGGGCCGAGGCTGTGGATGGATGATCGAATGTTGAGTATTTAGCAAACTGAGCCGCAATCGATGCGTAAAGGTGTGGGTAATTTTGTGATGCCGCATATGTATGTGTGTTCAAGTCAAAGGTAAATACGTGGCAGTCATGCAAACATGCTTATGTGTGTGTGTGTGTGTGTGTTGGGTGTGTGTGTGTGTGGGGGTGTTAATGTGTTACTTTGCGGCTATGAGTGTGTCAATATTTGATTCTATGCCCACAAATAGCAAATTATTAAGTGTTGATCTACTTAGAGCCGCCCAGGAAAATAATATTAGCAATGCAATCATCTGGCAACGCCATAAACTGATTGGCTCTTTAGCTACATAGATAACATACTGTTAATTTACATAAGTCTATTATTAACGTTTGCTCCCATTCCATTAACTATCTGGCAACGACTTAATCGCATTGGCTCCTTAGTTAGTCAACATTCTGTTCATATGAGTCGCATATTAACTTCTGTTCCTATTCCACACGTTTCCATTTTTGGGATTTAAGCGAAAGTTTAGCGCCTTGATTTATGATTGCAGTTTGTCAATGAAAAACATTTAATTTCAACTAAGATATTGAATACTATTTTAAATATTTAAAATACGAATTTAAGGCCATTTAAGAGCTGTGATAAGCTAGCCTTCTTAGTGGCAAATTTGGAATGGAACATGATACTAACTCAATAACACAAGGAATATGTGAATATTGAAACTTATTGTTAGACTTAGATGAAAGAAGTACAACGTTTCAATTCCGAAAGGTTCCACTTTACTTCAATCCCAAAATAATTCAACTTCAAATAAGGCTGCCTTCAAGTTCGCCAAGTGCGAGATTTTTGTGGGTGTTGCCAGGCTAACAATTAAACTTAAACTCTGGCAACGCCAGCAGTTAATACCAATTATTTATTGAGTCGCACATTTGGCAATTTTTTTCACTCTTTTATTGCGAAAAGGGCGATTGTCAGGTTGCCGGATGTTGTTGTTCTTGCAAGTTGTTGTTTTTGCTGCAAGTTGTTGTTGTTGCGCTGTTGTTGTTATTGTTGTTGTTGCCACTTAAGCGGCTCGAATCGCAGCAAAAGTAATAATGTAATTATTTCATATGATGCATTCATTTTAACTCCGCTTATGCAAATAAGTGCATAAAATTACAATAAAAATTTCTGTGTGTTTTTTACATTAAGATATTAAGTGCTCTGTGTGTGTATGTATATGCGGGTGTGTGTGTGTGTGTGTACATGAAATTTTATGGCTTGCGGCGAAAAGTAGAGAAGTCATGCGATTCACTGGGAAAATTGTTAAATTATAAGGACACGAGCATACAGCAAGATAATATTTAAAAAATTATCAAATTATTTATATAAATATATATGAAAACAATTGTTTATGTATAGAAGTGTATATATAGATTTGTGATCGTAGAATATAGAAAACTATTTATCTAAGTTAATATATAGACGATTATACAGATATGACTATAGACAGATCCGTGCTGCTGATTAAAAATAGAAACATATTATTTACAATATTCAGTTTATGTCACAGTGCTTGACTCAAACTTAAAGTTTCCCAAGGACGGCGACATTATTCCACGAAACTTAAAAACGCGTAAAACAGAGCAAAGAAAAAAAAGATCAGGGCAGGGCGGGAGGAGAGAGTGTGAGGGGAGAGGGGGGAACGCAAAGCTTTAAGTGGAATTAACGTGCAGCATTGAATATCCGACAGCTTAATTAACCTTAAGTGCTCTTTTTAAGGCAAACCCAGTCCAAAAATAGAAGGCCAATCAAATAATTAAGTGAAACAACAGAGAAACCAACCAATTTTTAGGAAGGGGCAGTGCGGAGAAGTGGTGGGGGGGGGGGGGGTGGGGGGGATAGGTCAGTGTGTGGGCACATTAGTGGATTTTTATAGAGTAATTATTATAATTATACTACTATATGTGATTTATAAATATACTAAGAAAATCTATAGCTAGGACATGTCCAAAATCCGATAATCTGGTTTTTACGAATTATTTAGCTGATTTTGAATAGCTCAATTTGGGTTTGCCTTTGTGGCATAGTTGTTGATAGTTCCAAATTAAGCTACAAATTGAGCTTGAACTATTAATAAAAAGTTAATGATTTGTATTCAATATACAAAAGTTAATAAGATGCGACCTCACAGTGATTAAGCACAGATTAACGCTGTAGTTGAGCAAGTGGAAAAAGCGTGATTTCGAATCACCTATCGAGGTGAACTGCAGTGAATACGCAGGACTGACAATAGCCGGTCACACTGGGCTGCCAGAGTGAGTCGGTCACACTGAACAGAAAGTTTTCGTATATACGCTTTTATTCCAATCTATAAAATATGAGTGTGTACATAAAGTGCCCAAGTGCTTTATTTGCGTAGAGCTTGTGGGCAAAGAAATGGCAAAGAAAATGACTTTAAAGAGCTTAAAGGCGGGCTAATGTCAGTGTTGTGCGAAAGACTCGTTAGCCAGAATGTTGAGCAATTTCTGGCCTGAAATGTTGATGTATAGCGAAGGGGCATGATAATGATGCCGTGCCATGGAAATATTTGGCGGTGGGCAGGCGGCAGCCAACCGAATAGTTGCAACAACTTGGTTAATCGCGAAACGTCGAGCTAATTTCGTGGCCAAATTAATTGATTGACAAAAATTACTGAGTTATTGGCTTAAAGCGGCAACTGTGGCTTATACGGTTATTCTTTTGGCCAGTTTCAGAGCCGAATAGAGGTCACGTTAACGTGTTAAAAGTGCTTAAGCGGGCCTGCATGTAGTAAAGGGCATTGCCCTCCCCTCCCCTACAAGGCTCTCTCAGCGGCTGTGCACGCAAAGGGCATATTAAAGAAACGTGTGCAATAAAAGGAAAGCAAAAGTAGAAAAGAAAAACCATATTTGTAGCATACTTTTTTTTGAGGAGCCACCAACTGCTGAAAGCCGGAAATAGTGAAGACCGAGTTTGAGTCGGCTTTAAGGCGACGTGAGGTGAGAGGGGAGGGAGGGGAGAGAGGGGAGGCTGGCCTGGATGAGTGCGCACTCCAATTATATCTGTTGTTGCATATGGCAACATAAATGCATGCAGGACTAATTGCGGATTGCGACTAATGTGGAAGCGCCACAAAACTTGACAATGCTTCAGCGCGATTCATGCCACGTGCAAGGCGCAACACAATTTGTTCTTGTTTGATATTATAATTGTTGTTGTTGTTTTCGTTGTTGTTGCTGCTGCTGCTGCTGCTGGTGCATGGCATTCGTAATTAATTTCAAGTTGACCCACTAAGGCGGCCGCCTCAAGTTAAAGCCGTAATAATAAAGCGCTCTCCGGGAATGACGTGCACCGGCGATAATTGCCATTACTTGCCTGTAAAGTGCCTTCCTGCCTGGCCCAACAATGGGCGGGAGGCGGGAGGAGGGAGCGAGGGCTTGGTTTGGTTTGGTTAGGTGGAGAGCTGCTGGCTCTTGGCAGTTGCCAGTTGCCAGTTGGCAGTTGGGTTGTTTGCGGTGGTTATGCATAACATTTGCATAGGAATTGCGACTTGCTTTATTTTGCGCTCTTTTGTATAAACTGTGGCAAATCTTTTGGTTGCAAGGAATAGAAACTCCAACCGGGTTGCAAATGCCCCGTAAGTGGCATTTAAAATTGTTGTATGGCAACTAAGTCGAGCTACGGCTTTAAATGTCTTAGCATATCGCTTATATTAAAGACCATTTAGCCTTTTTTGATAGATTTGCCATCTACAAGCACACTCCGTGTCCGTAGAAAAAGTCGGACTTCAACGAATGCGCCTGCGTCCCGTGCTGCCAGAAACAGATCGTTTTTAGGTCCGCCCCCAAGAAAACGCTAGCGCCGAAAAACAGCCCCAACCGGAGAGGAGCAGCAGCAACAATAGCTAAGCAACACCATCACCATTGCAACAGTGCACAGGGATTCGGCCAAGATCCCAACTGAAAGTTCCATTGGGCCAGCCATTACACAACCCACGGATGGCACTAAAGAACAAGCAGCTCAGCCTGGAGCCAACAGCAATAAGCATCCAAGTGATGCACCCAAGGATCGTACCCAAGGACTCGGATGATGAAAAGACGTAGCTTTCTTTTAACTATTATATACGATTATAAGATTATTAAAGACTATAAGTCAAACCTAATTATATATAAGTTATTTATAAATATATGAAAATATTACAAAAAAAAAAAAGTAAGAGGTTCTAGTCGAGAACTCCCGACTAGGGGATACCCTGAACTCTCTTCTTCCAACAGGCGATAGGTATCGAATGAAAGCTACTTGATATATATATACTATTCTAGAAGCTACATGTCAAGTTTGGTGACTCTAGCTCATATTATTTACCAAAATTGCTCAAAAAACAGGACTTCGATATAGATTTATCGATTACTTGGAAACGGGGCAAGTTATCGAATATCGGAAACAAACTCGATCAGCGCGGGCACTAGGAAGACCTACAGCTAAAATTTCAAGTCTCTAGCTCTTCTAGGTTCTGAGATCCTTGCGTTCATACTTACGGACAGACGGACGGACGGACGGACGGACAGACGGACATGGCTAGATCGACTCGGCTGTTGATGCTGATCAAGAATATATTATCTTTATGGGGTCGGAGATGCTTCCTTCTGCCTGTTACATACGTTTGCACAAATACATTATACTCTGTTAACCCATTTTCAATGGGTTCAGGGTATAAAAAGTAAGAAAGTTAATCATTTTCCCATATACGGCATTTATTGAAAATTGCGCATTTCGCATGAAAAGTCAAAGGCAGCTAAGATAAATAAAAACATATGCTTGGCTGAAAATTAAACTTTGCCCGTCCAGAAACTGCGAATGTCAAACAAGCATGTCATGGACTGTATGTCAAATGCTTTCAATACATAATATATATGAGAACATATACAAATATATGGTCAAATGATAGATTAATTAGCGCGAATGCAAATTGCAAGTATTGTTAAGTAAAAAAGAGAA